AAAGACAATATTAAGTACATACATCAAAATGAAAGACATGGTAAGTCGTTTTTTATCTTAGTGTTTATTAAGACTGTTCATCCATGATTTATTAAGAGTGGTGCTTTTAATTGATAGTAGTGAAAATTAAATCTCTGTCATAATAGATCATATCAATATCTCCTTGTATCCAAGACTACAACCCAAAATCCTGTTATTTACCTCTTATAAGGAATACTGTGCTGCATGATTTCATATGGGAAGTTATTATTTTAGGTTTTACTTCTAGGCTAGAGTGGCAGTTCAGAAATATGGAATGATAATTCAGATATACTGGTACAATTAGAAGCCAATTAAAAATTTACAAATTAAGCAGGCTGGTAAGAGAATGCTAGGAGAGAGAAAGAGTGAGACATAATTATCAGGCAAGATATGCAGAGAAGCAGGTAGAAGTCAGCAGTCTGGACTGTCACAATATTACAAGAGCAGTTTCAGCTCTTTCTGGTAACACTTCCCCTGTTTTCCTCTCAGATGTTAAGTCTAGAATCTGTCAGTAAGAATAGTGCAGTGAGAATATGGCTTGCAGGGGAAAAGTGCCTTGAAAAACATCCAAGGTCCAAGGTACTCGGGAGTGCACAGATTTGTTTTGGCATCCAAACTGCCATCACATAAACTTCAGAGCATCGGACCTGTGTTTCATACTTGCAAACTTCTCACTTTTACAGAAGTGTGTAAAATAACCTGGTATTTCCTGAGCCCAAAACCCACATGCCCTTAACTTTGTCAGTGTCCAGCCTTTGATAACAGCTGGCTAACTTAATCTTTGTGATAAGACTAAGGCAATTCACATGGATCTACTGAACCTTTGGGCAAAATGCTGAAAGTACCACCTGTTCCCTGGAAGCTCAGGACACATTCATACCTCCCACTCAAAGGAAGTTAGGTGATTTCACATAGGGTGGCCTTAAACACTAATTTGGTTATTCTCATTTTTTTCACTTCCATACTACCCTGCCACTGATGTCAGTCAGCTTCTGACAGTTTGCTGGCTGCACTTGCTTTTATATTCACACAGAGAAGGATTTCTTTGCAGGCATTACCATGGGAATTTGTTGGGTACATGAAAATGCAGGAATGCAGCAAGAGGCAAACTCCACAAAAGTGATCCAACTTCAAGGAGAAGCAATCTGCATTACCCTGGATGACTTTTCTTTGCCCCAGTAGATACTTTAGATCCACATTTATCTTGAAGCAGATTTCTGTCCTATTACTCAGTTCTTTCTGAGTTATAATTTCACCCAAAGAGGAATGACTATATAGTTGCCAGGGAAAGTAACCTGTTCTCAGGTGTAGAACAAGCAGGATTAGAAGTGACTGTCAAGACCTGATTGGTAAGGTTCTTAGAAATGCCTCTGCCTGAATTAAGGTGCAAACGAGACCACATGTCTGTGACAATAGTGTGGGTTTTATTTGATAGTAAATCTGAGAGAGAGAGAGAGAGGGAGGGAGAAAGAAAGAAATAGAAAGGAGGTGGGGCGACATAAAGAGAGTAAAAGGGACAGAATAAGGAAAATATCACCACTCCATGGATCCTCACGACATTCCATTGATCCTCTCCAGCTGGTCTTCTTGGTGTTGAAGGTCCCCCAAAAAGCTCAGAATCTGATGGGTTAATATACCCTCAGGCCAGGTAGGAAAATCCAGGCACCTCCCTTGGGGGGGATTTGCTGTTGTCTCTTACAACAGACTCTGGGTTTGCTGCATCACGTGCAGTGCTGTGATGGATGCAAGGCTTCAGGAATGACTCTGCGGGGCACTTTGGGGGCCCTTTGGTGGATTAAGGCACCCCCTCAGCTGCCTCTCACATGAATGCCCCGTGGATGTGGCCTTCCTGGGGTTGGGGGTTCCATAGCCAGTTGTTTCAGGGAGGATGGGCTCACTGCCCCTGAGCAGAGGTTACAGCACACCAACATCTCCTCCTCCCTACCTCAGCTGGGAAATCTGTGCAAACCTGCTCCCAGCAAAGGGGTCTGTGGGCTATGGCCTCCCCTGCCGTGAAGCAAACCAAAGATGATTCTTTGCCCAACTGCTGGGTTTGGATCACATTCTTTTCCTTGTTTACTTGTTTGTTTCAGGTGATTTTAGAATGGGTTTTCCCTTTATCTAATCTCAGCAGTTTGACTTTCAGTCCAAAGTCTCCATCAGGTATCTTCAGGGAGGCTTCTTTGATTGCAGATTCTTCATACCGCTTTGTTATAATGAGAAAAACTTTTTATCAATGTTTGAGGCATGAACTATTTCAGTCTCTGACAACATAATCAGTCACTGAATCTGTTACCTTGCTGTCACAGAAAACTATATCTCAAAGGCAGGAGTTCAATGTAGCAAGGGGGGCACAGTCCTGCTGAAGGCTTTATCTATGTCACTGTCTTAGAAGGACTGACTGGTTCCCAACGCATTTCTGTCATCAATAAAATGAGTTAAAATATTTGGCAGTGGAGCTACTGCTGCAGTATCTTTTTCCAGAAGCAAAGGTTGAGCCTTTGGTTATCCAATAGGTGCAAAGATAGCCAGCCAAATTCCTGAGTGCTTTCCTCCCAGCGACTTATTCCTTTCTGGCACACTAAGACCCAGCCTTGTGCTGGTCTTAGGCCCTCATTCCTAAGCATTAACCTCCAAGTCTGGTCACCCTGCAGATGAAACTCAGCTTGTCTGGTGACATCAGGCACTCTCTGAGCTTTTCATGCTGTTAGGTGCATGCTTGGTTACCACACTGAGCATCAGCACATCAGTTCTCTGGTCCTGCTGCTGCTACTCACAGCCATTGCAGGCAAAACTGCTTTGCCTTCTGCAATTTGTGCTTACTTTAATCTTTTTGACACAATAACCCAATCATTGTCTTCAATTAAGACCAGATTCTGATCACTAGTTTTGGCATTAAAAAAAATACAAGCAAACGTTTAAACAGAAAGTTTTTCTTTCCCAGGCTCAGCTTCAGCCAAACATCTTCTCTCACCCTGAAATCAAATTCCCTTATTTTCACTGTGGTTACACTCAGACTTTCCCAATGCCTTCTGTGAAGAGATAGGGAGTATAGGTTGTTTGGACTGTGTGCGTGATTTTTCCTGCTAAATTCTGCTTCTTACTAGCTCCCTTCTACCCTGTTGTGGCTCACCAATGACTGCAGTCCCCTGGGGATGTCCTTGTCCTGGCATTTCTCACACTGGTGTTGGAGCAGGCTGGATCCATTATGTACATCCCAGGCAGTTCCTATCCTCTCCTTCCACACAGGACACCTGCAGATCCTGCTGCCCAAACCTATTATACCCAGAGGAGGTTATTCCAGAACAACACAGCCCTAAGGGGAACATTTTCTCTTGTCCCTAAGTCCTAGCTCTGTTGGTGTCTAATTTATTTCTCTAAAAGTATAGCTCTTTAGCTTTAGTTGTTATCCACCCTTCCAGGTGTTCACCTGGGACTTGAACCAAATGAAAGAGGAGGAAATTTACAGCAAATCCCAAAACTGTGTTTTGGCCACATCTCAGTGCTACAGGTAACTCCTAAGTGTTCACACACAGTACTATCTTAGTCATTAGCCATTTTCCATGTCTGATATTTAAAGCAGGTGTTTATGGTAACTTTATGGTGACTGCTTATTAAGACTGGCCCTTCATAAACTGGTAGGGAGGACCCAGTGGGGAACACTGCAATGAGCAAATGTTTTTAAGAATAAGTGCTTATGACAGGGATTTCCAATAAGAATCGATTGTTCACAGAATCCTTGTGGCTTTAAATAAATTGATTGAAGCATCTGTCACAGCCAAGCTTGGAAAAGAAAATTCCACAAAAATCAGATTACATAAAATATATATTTATGAAAATTTTATGTTGACAGAAACAGCCCATGGATTGCCATGCCATTTCCACTTTCAATTTTTCAGCTTTTAAAATATATGTATTTACATATTCTGCCTTTTATCAGTGATTTCTTATAGAAATTGACATTAAGACACAACCCTTTCTGCCTTTTCTTTGCTTTTGCATTTCATTTTGCCATTGTGTTTGAAGTGGAATAATATACACTGGCATAGATTGTGTTTTCTGTTACTTTTGATTACTCACCAAATCATTCCGGAGAGTTCGTTGGGCTTTTTTCCTAATTATTTGGTTTGATCTCTGCTTGGGGAATAGGGCATTCTTTGCTGTGCTGTCCTGAAAATAATTGCATTTGCAGTGATTGTTTTCTAATAACAGTTCTGTGGAATAAGTGCTTTGAGGCTATATCTGGCTTTATTTATGAGAACAAAAGAATTCTGCCCAAATAATAATTGAGTAAGGACTTTGTGTGTTGGTTCACTATTTGTAAAATATTTATACACCGCATGACAGCTACTACATATCTTCACTTCTCCAGTACAATAAGGAACAACCATCATGTCAAACCAACTCTTATAACGTTGTCATCCAATCTGGGCAGCAGAGTGCCTTGGGATGGACATGAGGCTGTCCAGATATTCATGAGAGCTGATGGCTCAGACAGAGCACAAAAATCTGCAGCAAATATCATTCTGTAAGATAATATTTTGTTGGGCTTTTTAAATTCTAATAACAGGCCAAGGTGACTGTGGCACTTTTGGCAGCACTGAAAAACTATTTGCTTTCCCCAAGGTATTCTCATTTATTTTATACTGGGAATATTCAGGCTGATAGAAAGGTAATGAGAAAGAATGACAGAGTTTTAACTGGGTTCTCAGCATGTATTTGGGTTTTGAATAATACCTAGTGATTATGTGGCATTCATTCAAAGTGTTACACAGGTTTGTGCCTAGGTATCCTGCAGTGCCACTCTTCCTGACTTTCATTTGGAGCAGAGTTCATAACAGTTCAGACAAAGGCTTTCCACTGATATTAGTGGTGGATCTGAGCAAATAATTTCTGCGCAGAAAAAAGACACTATCATCCTCCAGCTCCTCTTTATTCTTGTGCTACAATTAACACTCAAAGTAGCATTTTCCGTGGTATAATTTTTATTTTTAATTTACACTTTGTGGGATATTGAATAGTTCAATACATGCTTTTTCCAAGTTTTCTCTTCTCAGCTGCATAAATCTAAAACGGAAGCTCTATCCCTAATTATTTATGCCATTCCAGCGCAAGAGTGTAATTCTTTTAACATATCTTGTGGGTTTAATTTCGCTTTGTATATTCTATAACCTGTAAGAGTACGATTCTTTTAAAAGTTGCTTCAAGAAATAGGTTTTGCTTCTTTGAGAAGTCAAGAATCAAGTAAAATACTTAGAATTATATCTGGAAAATTATCATTCTGAAGAATCATTGTGACAGGCTGTGAAAAAAATGAAACAAATTAGTAAACAATAATTATGCTTGAATACAGAAAATAAACCAAATGGAAACAGAGCTTCCAGAAGTCTGTTCTTCAGGTGTCAATTAATTATTTATTATTATTATTTGTCAAACAAAAACTCATTGTCAATGCAATATATTGATCATTATTTTGACATCTGCTAACTGATCTGCCTGCATATACACATTTCAGAGAAGTTATATTGATTAATATGTCATCAGCACTGTTTATTAAGATGCAGTGGCTTGTTCAGACTATCAGAAACCCATAAAAATTATAAATTTGGATATCATTAAGGTTAAATAGCCATAGTTTCTGTCTTTTCCTCTCCCCTCTTAAAAAATCTGGCCATTCCTTTTATTTTGCTATACTGACTTTGACATGTTCCTCTCCCCTTTCTCCCTTCATAAACCTATTTTTTCATCAGCCAGCAGGGAGTTATAGTCTGTAATAAAAAAATTGCTGCTTTTGGTCCTTTTATAAGGTAACTGTGATTAATTTTCATGGGTATTATACAAAAAGGAAGAGGACAGAATTTATCCCCAATTTTAGGCATGCAACAATTAGTACTTAGGTACAATTAAATTCTTAGGTGTACCTTACTCAAGTAAACCTTCCAGTGACATAGTTTAGTAAAAAATAGATCCACCAAACAAAGTGGAAGACTATGAGGATTGAATTTATTGCTATATATTTTTCCTGACATCACTTATTATAGCAGTGGTCAGAGCCTTGCTGGTAATGACCTATTGACATTCATGAACATCTTGGAGTTGGGCCCCAAAAAGAGAAAAATGTGATTGCAAATTCCCTTAATAGCAGCAAAAGTCTTTGTTGGCTCCTCTGGCACTTTTCCTTTAGTTATCAGTCCTACATGGACCTGAGATCATAAACTCTGCCATTTTTAGCTCCTAACTCCAGTCATAACCCACAAAGAATCCACAGGATTAAAAGCAATCTTTTTTTTACTGCTTCCTCATCCATTTTATAGGCTATCCTATCAAGAGAGGTTTAAACCATGTATTATAGAGAATTTGTAATGATTTCATATGGCTTTGTTCTTTAATTTAGATGAAGTAAAAGGTGTAAAGGTCGATTTAAAATATCAAACTTCTCTGTGCCTTTACTTTAGTTTCCTTGCTATTTTGGAGCATTCCCTGGGTTACTGTGGCAGTAATTTGCAGTTTCAGACTTCCCCCATAAAGAACTACCCAGTGAGGGACATTTTCTTTATCTGAAGATGTTATATATTTTTTATATGTGCCACCAAACTTAAAAAAAATCCTCAGTACATTTATATTTTTGTAGCACTGTATATGAGGGTATGAACTCCTTCTTTGCCTAAGAAAGCTCTGGTTTGAACAGTGTGATATGGAAGTGTAACAATGCTCTGTTGTCAGGAATGGCTAAGTGTAAATATATCTCCCTAAATATCTTGCATGCTGCAAAAAATTATGAAAGAGTTCAGCTCTACGCTCAAAATGGTCTCAGAAAAAAAAAATAGGGCTTGAAATCTGAAGAAATATAGAGAAAAACACTAATCCAGGAGATGATTGATACTGAAACATACTGAAGAAGCAGACATGCTTTTATGTACCTTACGTTTTCTGTTGTTGAATATTGTAATATATTCAGCAAATATTCCTGATAGGGTTTGATCATCTCTATCTGATCAATGACTCTTCTCTGAATAATTTATTCAAATCTTAATGACAAACCAGATCAAATAAGTTATGGGTTCAGTATTTTTTCAGTGTAGTCACTGGCCCTAAAAGCTATTACAGGCTTTAATTCATAATACATACTGTTCTATATATAACAATTTAACAAGCACCATGAATTATGGAAATACAATTTTATCAAAGGTGACATTGTAAACCTCAAAAATTAGTCTCCAGCAGTTCAGAGAGACACAAATATTACAAAACAGAGTGATAGCCCCATAATTCAAAGCACACTTACATTTTAATTAGTACTAAGATTTGGTGTAACACTAAATCTTCTTTCTTCTTCACTACATAGCCTTATTTGTCCTCTTTCTACTTCAGTCCCTCTCTGCATAATCACTTCTGTTCCTCCCAATCCTGGTGCTTCTCCCCAGCTCCCACTGCACCCTCTCAGTAGATATCAGGGTGCATCAGGGCAGAGCCAATCTCCATCTAAGAAAAATGCTACAATTCTTGCTTATAAGGCAAGGGATTTGTGCTGCTGAAGCCAATGGGACAATGGCACATCTTCACAGTGCTCCAGGACTTGGAGACTGCCCAAGGGGGTGGATGCCAGAGGGATCCTATTGCCCTGACTCTTTCCATGTCTCTGTCACACACTGCACATACTGGATTCCCAAAGTTACTTAATCATATGCTGTTTTTTACAGAAAAGGGAGAGAAACTGTTCTCCCCTACCCTTCACACTGGCAATTGTTTTTCAGTAAGTCGGTCTAATTTTAACTTTGACTAATAAATATATGATTTGAAAAATAGAAGGTAGCTGGTTTTGCTGCTGTTCAAAACAGATTATTTTCTTGCCTCTCTAAATAATTGTACTTTTCTGAATCCCTGTCATTTTACTTCTTACTGTTCAGGAAACATTTCCAGCCTCAGGTTTGGAGTGTTTACATTGTCATTGCTCTCACAGAATGGTGAACAAAGATTGAAAACTAAATCCTGTGCCCTGAAGCATACTAGCTTAAAAAGTGAACCCGGTTCCACCCCATAAAATACACCTGTCTTGAACAATCAAGAAAAGCACTTTGACATTACTGACTTCTGAAAAATTGCATTGAATCCCCTCCTCCCCTATCCCTGTGTAGATTTTTTCCCCCCAGAATTTGGTTTAACACTGTTTTTTGATGGAAATTTTGAGGCACAAAAATGAGAAGGAATATGCCCAGTTGTGTTTGGTACTCTCTATTTTTTCTCCTCTTTTTCCTGCCCTTTAAGCTCCATGGTTGCTTCAGCCTCTCTTTTTCCACATACTGAGGCCAGACATGTTGAGGAATCAGCTTGTGGTCCCTCGACCACAGTTACAGAGTCCCAGGTGCAGGAGAAATTTCTTCCCATACTTAAAGAGTCACTTCAATTTTGTTTCAAAAGAGAGAACTGTCTAGAGGTCTAGAACTGCCAGAACAGTTTATCTCTGTTTAGAAAATGTGTTCTGTGTACTTTGGGTTTAACCACTAGCTGGAGTACTGCAGGTACTGTGATGTGACTGCCTCTCTTGCTTTTCCCCCAGCTCATTTTATAAAAGACTGTAAGTAGTTAGTGCTGTTACTTTGAGAGTGTGTCAAGTTGGCAAAAATAGCATCTCAGGTTTCTGTCCTTTGTAGCTTTCTAGTTAGGGGTATCCCTCTTCTACCAGCAGATTTTAACAGAACTCAAGCCACTCTGAGAGTCACGGACTCTTAATATGATTCAGCTTCCAGATTAATAAAATTACTCTCTCTAATGAAGGTTCTCTTCTCTTTCATTCATCAGTATTTTGATTTTGCTTGCAAAGTGCACTTTGGAAAGTGTCACACATTTTCTTCTTCCCTATTCTAAAGAAATTATATATTTTCTTTAAAAAAAATTGATCTCTGCCAAAGCACTGGACATTGTAGGTAAATGTAAAGATAAAACAGTTTTAGGTGATGCTGTCTGGAACTGAAAGAAGGTGATATTCTGATCTAAGTTGGACCTACCTTGAATGGTTGGAAACAGGTGACTTCTCAAGGTGTTTTACAAACTGAGCTATTCCATGAATCTATGATACTCTTCCCTACCGAGAAAACTGCTTCTTCTGAATGGTGCCAGTCATCTTGAGGCTGGTTTCTGGAACTCCATAAACTCAGCTTTTTTTCATTCTGGATGAAGCTCACAGCTACAGCATCACTCTGCATTTGAAATACATAAAAAGCAGATACTACTTTGTTTAAAGCACATGAAAACAGTTCTTTGTACCACAAGTACAAGAGAATATGAATAAGATTTTTTGTGTTTGTGATGTAAAAGATTAAATGAACAGTGCCTCATTTTCTGAAGAACAAGATCCAGTAAATGGAACAGGAGCAATGCCAGCTGAAAGGACAAGAAGATGTATTTGTCTGTTTCCGGGCTCTGGAAGCATTTTATCAATTCCTCCAGCCTGCCTTTTCTCTGTCACAGCAGGAAAGACTTCAGAGAGGAATACCAGAGCAAACACATATACAAACCCTTAATGACAGCAGTGGGTCTTATTACTACAATACACTCCAGAAATGTTATTCCCACCTTTAGCAGTTTGTGGTGGTTGACATTTTAAAAAATAGTCAGAGGGAAGGGTGTTGTGCTTTGTGATATCAAAGTTCATCAGCACCAGGCACTGTGAGAGTAGATTCCAGCTGCAAGTGTGTGAACTTTAATTCGTGTGAAGCTGTTTTATCTTCTAAAAGAGTTTTTCCCCTTCATGTGCCTTTTCTCAACTTTTTAAAAGGCCCCTTTTGTGTCATCTGAAATGCAATTTCACAAATGGACTGCCAGGATACGTTGAATCCTAAGGCTCTTCCACCCAGAAAAGCAAAATTAGAGAAAAATATTCACCCCCAAAGCACCTATTCTGCCATAAAAAGATTTTTGTGGCAGCTCTCTTTTATCTTACTGTACTTTTAAAATAGAATGCTGAGTTATTTTCTTAAAAGCCTGAGAAAGCTCTCAGGCATTTTAACCTTCTTGACAAGGTAATGTCTGTTGCCATTTCCATATATTTTGAGTGATGGCTTATGTACCATCCAGTTGAGGGTGGGGCACTTGAGGGAAAGCCAGGACTACAGGACTGTCTGTCCCTGTAAAACTTCACCTCAGCTTCTGGCAAGGCCATCCTACCTGACTTGCCCAAACACTGAGAACTGCAGTGCAGGGGTTGGAATGTAATGTACCTCTTGACAAAAAATTAGGGGGCTCCAGTTTTTATAAGAGCCATGAGACATTGCAATGTTATCATCAAATCATATCATTAACATTGGCAGAAAAAGGGCTCACCTCCCTGCCAAAAACCTGAACTCACTGAAGTCCAAACATATACCCCTAGCCCACCCTTCTGTTGAAATATTTAAGCCTTAGCAACATTTCAGTTGTTGAAAAGTTCAGGAATGGAAACAACTACTTTTTTTCCAAAAACCAATGCTGTTGCAAATAAATAAAGACTCACTGTTAAATTGAGACTATTGAGACCAGAGTATGGTTAGACTCCTCAGAGCCCCTTCTCAAGTAGAGACTTACCAGCCATTTCTGTTTATAAATTCTTTGTTAAAAGCCTCAGTCCAAGACCCAGAAAGCTCTGAAGGGACAGAGAGGAAGTTTCTTTCAACTTCTTAGAAAGTTTATTAAAATCTTGTGTTCACAAGGAAAAAATCCAGTTTAGGCAAGTATAAATGTTTTGTCTGCCACAATCGGCGATTTCTTAAATTGGGCCGTTCTTAAAAGCAAAGCAAACACTTTTAGGGTGGGTGTAGGTTAAAAGAACCTGTCTGTGGGGTCCTCAAGCTCACATTGCTTCTTTTAGGTGCAGTCAGAATTTAGGGATAGGAATCCTTGAAGGCAATGACTTCAGAGCCAGAATGAGAAAGAAGATATTGGACCTTTACAGTCACAAAAGGATTTACTGTAAAGGATAATTGCTTAGAAGTTCTTTGTCATAGGCTGTAAACAGGTCCAACAGCATTAGGCTGTGGTCACAGCTGATTCCTCAGATCAGTCTAATGGGAGCAGACAGCAGCAAAGCTATATGGCCATGATGCCCTCTAAGCCTGGATCCAAGTAGAGAGCAAAGAGGAGGAGCAGAAGTGTGGCATTTGTATAAACATTAAATTAGAAGAAATGTTAAATATTAAGCTAAATCCATTTAAAAAAAAAGTAAAAAAGTAATTTAGGAGATTTGCAGCTCAGTTAAGAACTCTTCAAATTACTCTATTAATGTTAAATTGGGGTGAAAATAGGTCTAATACATAGTAATGCAGCTGAAATTTAGCCTGCAGAGTTAAATGGGCAAGCCCGTCATTCCGTGTTAGCGTGAGTGGAAATCAGGAGGGACAAAGGGTGGATAGAGAAAATGATAGCATTGGCAGACAAAAGCTGTGGCAAGCTGTTCACCAGATATTCAGTCTCTGCTGAGCAAACTCATCACTGGCTTGCTCTGAAAAGCTCACAAATTCCCTGCCTTTCACCTTTTGGACAGAATGAAAGATATGCTGGCCGGCTGCCAACTGCTAATTCAAGTGCTTTATTGAGGAGTACGACAGTAATTCAGCCAGGGAGAGACAAGGAGTTTTTGTGGATCCAGAAGAGACTCTTTATATTTTTCCTGGAGATTTCTTGGTTGACCCTGACCAATTTCCTCTTACTGGATTTGCACCCCTAGAAACCTTTCTTTGAAGAACATTTGCTCACCAGAGGAAACTGTCCAGACCGTCACAGGTTGGAGAGACAGTCACTGAAGGGAAGAAAATCAATCTTTGCTGACCAATGGAAATTCATGAAAACTTCTCTGAAGCCTTGTAAAAACCTGTCTTTTTAGCACAGCAATGTACACAGTATATAGGGCCAAACCTGGCATCCTCATCCATCCTCATCCTAGAGAACATGGAGGGATTTTCTGAGCAGTCGGCCAGTTTTTTTTATTCTTCCTCAGCCCCTTGTACTGCCCAATGCCAGCATTTCTTTGAGATAAGAGACAATTTTTCCCATAGGGAATCGTCCCCAAAGTTGAATCCAAACACAGTAGTTCCTGAGTGACAGCCTGGAGCCATGGCAGTGCCGTGTGGCAGAAGGAAGTGCCAGTGACTGGCTGTATGGACCAGCCAGGGAAGCAGAGGGGACAAAAGGATGCAAACACTGCCTCTTCCTTGTGCCTGAGGACAGAGGGAGGGAGAGCTTCAAACCCTCTGAAGAGGCTATGAGGGGCCTGGGGTTAAGTGTCTGCTGTTTGAAAGTACTTAATTTTGTTCCATTATTTTAATGCTGGGGGTGCTGGTGGGAGGTGTACTTTTTGACTTCTGTTTCTGCTTTGAACATGATGCAAAATTCACATCCCCTGGTATAAAACTCTGCCTTTACTCTTCCTCCACCTTCCTGTCCTCAGTTACTTTGAGTCCATGCTCTGACCAAATTATAGACCACATAAAAATAAACCTTCTGTTTGAGTGGCAAACCAGACATAGGTTTTGATTTAATATAGAGTATGTCTTATGTTAAGAAATTATTTTATGTATTCATTTTATGTTGCTATCCTGATTTGGGTGTCTGAACAGGTTATATGAGTTATTGAAATGTTATTTTCCTTCCAAAGTTTATGCCTCATTCCTACACTTGTATCAATGTACTGTATTTTCCTGACCGTGTATTTAGAAGTGAAAAAATATGACTATTAAATTTGTATGACATTTACCATCCACAAACATATTAGGCTCATGTATGGCATTTGAAATGAGTTATTTGCTCTGCACTGACAACTGTGTAGGGGAGAGTTAAGTCAACAGTGCAGTATTGATGGAAAAGAAAGCTTAATAATATTAAAAGCCATTTCTGATAGAAAGAGCAGATAGCAACTCAGTCTCATTGAGATCACAGATTATGCTTTTGTGCTCCCTGATGTTTGAGAGGTGCAATCTCCTGTCTCTGTTTTCCAATCCAAGAAGGAAGAATAATAAGAGAAAATAACAGGTCAGTAAACAGGAGGAACCTCTCCAGGAACCTTTAAATACCTGTAAGTACATGCATGCACACCTGAACAGTTTTAGATTTTTTTTAAACACCCAAATGCAAATCATTGGGAGTGTGTGTGTGTGTGTGTGTGTGTGTGTGTTTATGAATTAAATGTGCTAGGTAAAAAATATCACAATGATAATGCACATTAAAAAAAAAATCTTCTGCTCATATGATCATTAAGGTGATACTTTTAGCAGAACTGTAGGCTGTCACATCTCTTGAATTGCGTGAATAGTTCTCATGTCAAAGGTGAGCTTCAGAGACAGGCAGTCCTTTTAGTCTGAATTCCTAAGGAAAAAGGTGCAATTCCTCAAGTACATGTAACAACAGGCTTTTTTTCAAATCCATCATCCCCCATTTCACAGAGGCAGGTAGATGTCTCAGACATGATAATTACTGGCAAAGCTGTTCAAGGTGAGGAGAGGAGAGACAGCTCCTGCTGCTTTCACTGAGGGCAGGACGGAGCTCTCAGCACTCCTCCAGGCTGCCCAGCTCAGCAGCCCAGCCCTGCCTGCAGCACTGTCTGGGGCCCGTGGCACACACATATTCCCAGCTGGTGGGTGGCACAGTTACTCAGGGGATGGGGACAATGTCTGGGGGTAGCCAAGGGGAATGTGTAGAAGATGTAGACTGCTTCCCAAGGCAGTTAGGAGGGGTGTGGGGGGCATAGGAGAATGGGAAGGAAGATCTCTGCTCCAGAGGTCAGCTCACACTGTTTGCCTTCTTACCAGATAACATTTCCTGCATTATTCTCACTACCCCACTACTCCATGATAATTTTTTACAGCTACCTGAGCAGTACCTTATCTAAGATATGTAGGTTATCATTTGTTCTGACAGAACCCAGCCATTTTTCCTCACCTGATTTTCTAAGGAGAGGATATGGCTGAGCACATTTGTGTTTGCCTTCATCTCATCTGTAACTGTAAAACTTCATGGCTGACCTCACTTAAAGGATGGAGGAAGAAAGGAAACCTCAAAAATGCTAAATTCTTATATCTTAAATGAAATTTAGCTGCACGTGAGAAGACGGATGTCTTTAATATTCTGACCAAGTAAAGGGACTACATGTCTCATCCTCAGAAAGTGGAAATCTGTAAGTTAATAAATGAGACTTTTTATCACTGTCTTTGCTGCAGAAAAGTTACTCTAGAAACCCCAGTCCAGCCCAAGATACCAACCTGGACTGAATCGTGTACTCTGAAAGAGGGTTTCTTCCCAAAAGGTGAGACTGGGGAAACACAATTTACTACAGAGGAGAATATACAGTGTATTTTCTTTCTCAGAACACTGTTTGTACTTTCTTATTTTTTCTCCCTTCATTTGAAATGAATCATTCAATCTGTGTCACTCTTCCACATTAGATTGTACCAGTTTGATTTTGTTTGATGCAGGGGAGAGGGGAAGCAGTGATGGGATGTGACGTGCACTTTATCTTGAGTATTATTTGTCTCTACAAGCCTGCGGTGAGATAAAACCTCAGAAAGGCCCATGGTAAAGGACAGTCATTACTTTGTAAGTGCTTACGCAAATGTGTTGGAAGATTACATTTGGAAAAAAGCTTTTCAGGCTGTCACAGGCTCCACACACATTTTCTCTTTGAGAGCTGAGTTAATCAGAGCACACTGACAGACGGGTGGGGATGATGCAAATTTACAAGTTAGAGGCTTGATGACTGACAGACACAACACATAATACAGGAGAAGGAACAACATGTGAGAACACTTTCCCCAGATTTAGAGTATTTTGGCTAGAGATAAGAGTATAATTCCAGCTTTATTACTAAGTCATCTTGTAAAGTATATTATTTCAGTGTTACTTATTTTATTGAACAAGTCAGAAAGTATTCCTCACTTTCAGAGAGTAATGAGTTTATAGGTTTGGGCAGAGAGGAGAGAGGGCACTGCTCTTTTCTTAGAAAGTGTCAAAATCCCAGGTAGACCACAGGACTCACTATCACCATTCTGCAATGACTGAGAAATTGTCTTGGAGAAATTAGAGGACAAAATCAAATGGGTGCATATGTATGAAAGCATAAAATCTGACATTTCCTATTAAACCACAAATCTGCAACAGACCTAAGCATGGTAGAAGGAGGGGGATCTGTAGGAGTAGCGTAAGTAGACTGCACTCTAAGAGTTCATGAAAGCCACTTGTAGTGGTATTTATGGTGTGTTACACCATTTGCAGCATTTTATCTGAATATTTATTGTTTTTCTAAAGAATGATGAAAGTGCTTCCTTCTGACTTTAGTTCAAAACTATTAAGAATTTGATATCAACTGCAACATGTAGTAGCCTTGATGTTTAATGTTGAATAATTTCTAAAAAGTCCTGAAATTCTGTAAGGTTGGGCAGTGGTTCAACAATGAGATATATTGAGGCAGATATAAAATGGTAAAGCACAGCAGTAAGTTGTTATTCTTATTTCATGTTATACCTACACTTTGTATTTCAGGCCTTTAATTTCCTAGTGAGTCCCAATAGCATATGCACTTTTCTCCCTGGGAAGATTTCAGCACTCTAATATTTTTTTTTTGTATGTCTCCACTTTGCAAAGGACATCTATTTAATCAAGCAGTAAAAAAAAAAAAAATATACCATACAACAGGGCTGACATCCAACCAGTGAACTCTAAATAACAAACACTTGAAGTACTCACGATACTCAGGCTCAGATATGTTTGGAAAAAGCTCTTCATCAGCCAAATAATAAAAGCCATGATAAATTCAGAGATAATTCTCCAAGAGATAAAGGGTCAAATCTGATGAATGAATTGTTCATGAGGGCCGTTTTGATGAGCTATAATTATGTGAGCAAAATCCCATCATCTTTTGTCTCCTGATTGCATGATAACCACATAAAAGGAAGAGAATAGCAAGGAGATTAAGTTCTCACAGTGAGTAAGAGATGTTGCATTGATTCTAAGTTGTTGCTAGGTAAATAATTAAACCATGATTTCACTGTTGATTTTATTTGTCTGCTGTGTGTAAAAGGTTACTTAGATGCATCAGTGAAAAATTAATTAATATATTTCTGGCACTGCTCAAATAATGGAAATCCATGAAAATAAAATTACTGTAGGGGTTTGAAACCACTCATTAATGATCCACCTCAGCTTCAGAAAATGCCTCAGTAGTTTAATGGTCCTGACAGCTCAAACCATCTTTCTTCTTGTTTTTTAAAGTCTTCACCACAGTTGCTACAATAAATAGATATCTATGAATGTAGCTTAACCAACCAGATTTGATGAGGTTTACCAAGGCTGTATACTCACCTTGTGTATTCTTGATGTCCCACCTGGCAGAGCCCATCCCTGTGCATATCCAAAGCATTAGCTGTGCTCATGCAGTGCACCAAGGGAAGGGCAACGCTGAGCAGGCTGAGGATGTCACACAGGGGTTATCACTGAAAGCTTTCCTTTCCCACAATAAAACTTTGCTGCAATGTGACAGTACCTCCGAACTGCAGGAAAAAACAAAAGGCAGTGAAGGTCTGAATGATGAAGCCTCTGAATAATTAGCATGGTAAAACCTGAGGCACATTTGTTCGCACCACATCCGTGCTAATTGCCCATTTACCAGGCTAATTTAGCATCAGTTATTTCTGGGTTCATTCCATCATCAGTATATTTCTCTTGTAACTAGGCTACTGTAATTTCAACATCAACTGTGTTTTGACTTACATTCACTTGTAACCCTTAAATATCCACAGGGGAGCTCAATTTGCTTTGAGTTTTACTGTTTAAATATCTTATATGTAAAAGCTGGGGAATTTGTATTTCAGATACCAACATGCCCATTTCAAGCACACATGATATAGTAACTCCTGATCACCATGTGGTCACCCAATGCAGTTTTGACAGTTCAGTTTTCTGAAGATTTCATACCATTTCATTTCCCCCAAAATTCCATCATACAAAAAGGTCACCCAGTCATTAAAATGATTAATTTCTTTTGTGGATTTGAATGATTGTGGTAAATAAGAATTAGAAAGGACAAATGATATTGTGTAGTGTGAAATAGAACTTGATTTGCAAGGAGATTAACTAATTGATCTGCTGTGTCCTTTCCAACTTTAATGCGTTGGCTTCTGTGATAGACATTCATATTTTTCATTATCTACCAATAAAACAAAAAAATATATTGTTGTTTCTCTACCTGTAAAGATTTCGTAGGATACTAAATTTCATTTTTACTTTTGGGAAAAGATGAATGTTGCCCTTCACATTTATGGAAGCAGATGAGATATTTGTAGTGGTTTTGACACTAAAACATTATGCTTTTATTTCGAGCTATGAATGGAAATCTTAGCTGTCCTGAAAATCTAAAAAGAAGAAGACACTGGTGGATTTCCTGGTAGTTGACTGAGAGAAAATTGACTTACCAAATGGTGCCTGAGCTGTCTGGACTCACTTGGCATCATAAGTGCTCTGGGAATTTTGGGGCATAAGCAAATGTACAGGGCCTCAATGTAGTATAAACATGATAGGTTGTGTTATTGGTAGTTTTCAGTGTTGGATCTATGCATGATTGCAAAACTTTTTATAGTAATCAGTGATAAGTGAGAAATACCACATGCACATGCTTAATATTATCTACTAAGAATGAGGATGTGTATTTCTAACTTGTACACTCAAAACTGATGAGGTGAAAAACACAGAAGAGACCAAAAAATGGATCCAGATAGTTTACTTACATGTCAGGCCTGGTATATCCTCCCTCAAGACAAAACTTAGAAATATGCAATGCAGCAGCTGCCTTTCTCTGGAGACACCAGAAATCCATGGTGTTTGATATTCTGCTTGCAGAAAGCTGTGAAATCTTAAGCACTCACCAGTAAGAGGACACTGAGCTGTCTGCCTGGAGACCATGGGGAAAAAAAGTGCCTGGCTCATCCTAAGGTAGCTTTTCTATCCATGAGGACAATGGATCAAGGAGCTTGTTGCACCTCCTCTGAAACATTGATTGGAGGTAGATTTTGTCACTGCTTCCCACAAGTCTTGTCTAAGACTTGTCACACCCAGTGGGATTCAGAAGGTACATATCCCTGCAATTTCCATTTGTAACCGTGGTGGGTTTAGGGGTTATACCTATTAAATGGGGTCTTAAAACACAGGTGACACTGGAATTACATCCTGGAGTTTCTTCAGAAGAGACCCCAGGCAACTGTGAATGTATTGTAACAAATGGAGTTTTAATAGAGAAAAATGGAAGGTACATGCAAAGATGTCTTTGGCTTGGCAGTGGAGCACTGTCTTGGCAGCTGGAAGTCACTGCTTGTCAGCTGAACTTTCCAAAGTCATAGGTGTGTAACCAGTCCCTGGCACATGCAAGAGGAAAGTTCTTAACTCCTCAGCAGAAGAGTACAGGAAGGAAATGTCACGGTTACAATGCCCAGCTGCATTTTATAAAAAAATTAATGGGTTTTGTGTCTAGCTCCAGCCTCAAGAGGTAAATCTTTAAGACAAGAAGATGAGTTTTTTCTGTAGATCTATGTTCATTTACAATTTCCTGGTGGTGGCTCCTCATTCATCAACATGCTAAGTGTGTTCCCTTGAAGTAAGATACCTATCAGATATTTGGAGGGTGGACAGCCCAGCAGAGAGCAAAGTACTTTGCTGGGAATCATTGTATTTAATGGATGGAGGACACTAGCCCAAAATTTCTGTGCTTCATGGAAAACAGTGTACATAGATTTCTTTCAAAAAGAGTCAAAACCTGGATAGTTCCCTTCTGTCATTCCTCAAAAGTTTGAAATAGGAGAGTAGGAAATGGAAGAAATTAAAGCCACTGACAGATATTTTTGAACCATAGTCTTACCTGCTTTTTAAATTCCTTGGCCCAAATTTTCCAGAAAATGAGATGTTTAGCTATAAAATTAAAAATTGAATATAGAATAATCTTCAGAAAAACAAACATGGGAAGACCAGTTGGTAATTCCTTCAGAAGAAGACCCTGAAAATTAGAAACCAAGAAAGTTACCACCTTTTCCCATGTTAACATTATCATCAATACACCACAAAAATGAGAAATGCAAAGCAATTACTGCAGCAGGAAAAAGACACAAAGAGATGCAGCAAAATGCCTTGAATCTATCTCTGCATTTGCATACCACTACCAGAAGTGTCTTGAAATTTGCTGTGAGCATATGGAGGTCTTGATCAAAACCAGAACATACATTTTACACAAGGGGCTTTGTACAGATGCGCTAAATTTACAAAGGCAACTGAAGGACGTTTCAGACAGACTTGACAGATTACAGGTTGCTGCTGTTACTGTCACAATCTCTGTGTAAATCTGGTTTAACAACAAAGAACTGACACCACACAAGGACAAAATTGAAAAACAATTCAGAGGCGCTGTAGAACTTTTCCCATTACAAATACCAAGGTAGCCAAATAAAAAAGATCCTTAAATATAGGGGTCACAGATTGAAACCAAAATGGAGAAGAGGATATATCATGTGAAAAGTCTTATTTTGTATTATGTTTTTCATGCATTGAAATGATGGATATAGGGAAATATACAGCAGTTTAGATTTGGTACCTTTGTTTAAAGGACTTATCATCTCAGAATCATTTGGGTGATTTCAGCTATTTTGACTGAGATTTTATAGTGGTTGAGAAGATGACCGATAAAGTTACAAGGCAAAACTATAACCAGTTTCAAAGAAGTGTCAAGAATGTGAGGCTAAATTGAGTAGGGATCTAAATATCCCCTTTTTCTCATTGCCTTGGTTCAAAGTAAAAAAGCACATTTAAAAGAGAGTACAGCTCTAGTTACTGGAGGATTCTGTCAGATTGCATGAAGGCATGAAAGGAGGTGCCTGAAAAAGTCAGATTTTGTAAGAACCTTAAAAACAAAAGCCCAGTGCTTCTCCTCAGCCAGTGACCTGCACCCACTCACTTTTGCTTTGACTCAGTAGCAGTCCTAGCAAGCAACACTATGCTTCCTGCACAGTTCCTTTCCCTCCAGTGGTGCCCATGGCTCCTGAAGTCTGTAATTGATCTCTTCTGCCTCCCAGTATGTCTTCTTTCCCTTGGATCCCAGTGCCTTCCTTGAGTGCTCATATTTCCAAGGCACAGCTTCTTGAGCTGCTCTTTGCACCCACACACAGCCACAGCCTGTCATAGTCCTAAGGCTAGGGAAATATCTCTGCCCTCTTAACAAAAACCCTGATTACAACTTTGACAAAAGTGATGCTGACCAAAAAGATTTGAGATGCAGCACAACTGGAGGACATCACATACAGTATTGAAGGAACCAGAGAAGCAAGCTTACCTCTGTGGGCCACTGGGAGGACTTGAGGCACCAGTATAGGAACTGGTGGTGGGATCAGGGAAGCAGCTGATGGCTGAAATATGGCTGAGAATCTGTTTCAGAATGATAGATGTAAGAAATTTCTGAAAACCTTTAATAACACTGTGTTAGCAGTAAATAAGCACCAGACACCATGCAAATGCCAACAGCTCCTCATAGAGCTCATTTCCCAGGTGATTTTTCTGTTTGGCACAATTGCACCTGGATTACCATGAACTCCTAGGATGAATTGACCCTGTTCCCTGCTGTTCCAGGGAATGCCACCAGCACACCTGCACTGCCTTCAGGAGAAGCAGTAACTTTTGTGGAACTAGTCCTGTTTATAGCTAAAGAGTGGCCAGTAATGTATAAAAACTGTATTTATGGTCTTAGGAAACTCAAAAGTGTTTGTTTTTCCCTCTTTCCCTCATCTGCTTCTTCAGAGTGCTTTAGTTGTATTCAGACACGCATTGTGAGTGCAGACCAAGTAAAGGATTTTCTGTTTATTTATTTAGGGTAGTTATTTTTTATCCATTATTGAAAAATATATCTGAAGTTAATCTACACACTTTCTCCTAGGAATTATATTCTTCACAGGTCATTTTCACAACAAAAGGCCCTAGTCCTTACAGTCTCAATCCTTAATGCAGGCACTTCTTAAGGTTATGATGTTTTTCACATTCAATATGGATAAACCTATTAAAATTAAATGACAGTTATTAAAAAATATTAACATATTTCTAGACACAGTAGCAATAAAAATGTGTGAAAAAAAAATTAGGCATCATTGTCTATTAGTTCTGCAAGATGAAAAGCATACCAAAAATGTCAAAGTCTTCTTAGAGGAATTTAATTAGAGTAATTTTGCACCATGCTGTTGTTACTGTGTGTGACTCACCAGTACAGAGTACAACAGGCCATTTAGATCCTACTGCAGTTTGGCAAGTATTTGTTATAAGTTTTTAATTTTTCAAATTACTTTCCTGAGCGAAAAAATGGGAAAGTGTTCTAAACAGCGATTATGAAACCTCTTCTGCCAGTTTACCACTTTATGATGTTATGCAGGTTTCAGTTTTCCATGGATCTGTCTGACACTAATCCTGACATATTTTGAGCCTGTACCAAGATTGTTCCTGTGACAAACACTTTGCAAGTAAAAAAATTTACCCTTTTTTAAGTAGTGTCTACTTTAAATTTAGGACAATTTCAGTCTAACATAAACGCTTAAATTTCATATTTCACTATTTTCTTAGCCAAGAAATCACACTAACAACTGATGAAATGTAGGATAATTGTAACACTGGGCTTCACTGACGCTAAAAATTATAGAAACAAGGATCATATCAATTTGTCTGAGTTCCACTGAGGTAGGTCAAGAAAATACTTTCAACACTAAACAAGCAAATGCTCAGAAGTCAGCCAACACTTTTCCCTCCAGCACAAGTGTTCGTTGGAATGGATTTTTGGATTTTTATTTTTTTATTCCCATATTGCTGAAAATTAATGCTGAAGCAGCATCACTTTAGTTCCCTCACTTTGATCATAAAAAGTTCTTTATGGGTTTGAGAGTGAAAATTGAGTCTCTACCATGAAGTGCTCAGCCACTCCACACCTTATGAAGCAGACACACATCTCCCTGTGAACCTGTCTTAGATTTTTCCTGTGTTGCTTTCATCTCACTCAGCTTGTTGAGATTTTTCAGTGAGAAACTTTTCTATGTTCTTACATGGTGCAGTGGAATGTCTCAGGAGATCTGAGGAATGGAATTGCTCTGTTGTTTCCATTGATGCATCTCTAACATGTTCAGTTTCAGCTCTAGCTCAGGAGGGTTCCACACTCCTTCCTGTGAAGGGACAACACTTATTTTTATGTCATAAGTAGCAAGCACTAAAAACATCTGCCTGCATGAAGTTCCTTATGCCATCTTGGACATGTAGGTGCAAAGAATGAGGGAAGAACATGGAAGACTAAAGATAGCTATCTTTTCCCTGTAGAGATCACATGGGTTGTAGGATAAAGATTGTACTTCTGAGCAGTCTGCATTTCCAAAGCAATTCTTTCTCCCTGGCGAACTCTCTAACATTCACTTCTAGACAAATATCTTTAAAGCATGTCTATCCTGGAAAGCTAGACGACTGTGCTGTACGGTTTTAGATAGTGGAGATCACAGCAGCTCGGGAACATGCAGGGATGAACTGACTGGCAGGATTTATCAGGCTGGGAACCATGGTCTTGTGCTGCTACCCAGACCAATGCCAGAACCAAGTGCATTTCTCCTGCTGCTGCCTAGACCAGTGTCAGGTATCCACCTGGGACACCTCTCAGCAGGGCATCCATTACACAGGGCACATGTTCTCAATCCACATTTCCAGTCGCTTCCTCTATCTTCCCCCACTGTCCTGAATTATTGCATCCACCAAGAGATTACACAACCACACGCTTCTTCCTCAGTTCGTGTTCCACATCCTACTTCTTAGCATCCCTGCTAGCTCTATTTTTAAGAGCTTTTCAGTGTTAGTAATTCTTTGGTCCAGTTGAGAGTGAGAAAAGATAATGCCTGACTAGAAGCTGGGTGGTGCAATAACCTGCTGACATTCTTAATGTGATAGAAAGTGACTGAGTAAGTCAAATGTGTGGAAAATTTATAAAAATACATAGACACATTTCTAGTGTTATTAAGCTTTAAAGACTGGGCTTCAGCTGAGCTGAATTTGAGATTTAAATCTATAGAGTTATTAAGGATTTCTGGAGTGTGTGAGTACCTTCTAAGCAGTGATAGAAGATCTCTATAGCTTCCCTTCTTCCCATCTATGAATAGTGTGTATTTTTGGTAACTCTGGTTAATGATTAATGAGACCAATTTCTCAAACATAGCTCGTGTAATTATCTTTGCAATGGTTCAGTTTGCATGCCAATTACCAAATTTCAAAGTGAAGATGCTCTTGAAATTTTCTCAATTTCTTTTTATTCCAATGACTTCAGTGAATCGATTACCTCTCTCTGTAAACCTAGTTTGGCATAGATGCCTAGACTGTCACTATTATAATAACATTATTACTATACATGTTATTTATATCATGTGCTTACTTCAACAAAAATAATTTTCTTTTGCCAAAAATTTCCTCTCAAACTTCCATTTTCCTTTTTTTTAATACACAAATGGGGACTGTGTTCCTGAGATAAATTCTGAAGTGGGTTCACCAGAATAAGCACTGCTTTGTGGTCACTACACCAGGGTAAATGAATTATCAGATCTGAGGCCATGTGGCAAGCCCCTTGTGCTGGTGGCACTTTGCTCCTTCAGTGTCTGCAAGTCTCAAAGCATGCAATGGAGGAATTAAAGGGGGAGGGTGGTTAGCTGATTGACTCCTCAGATGCTGAGAGCTGGGAGCAGATGTTTAACCTTGTGCCTGCCACCAGATCATGAGGCCTCGCGCTGCCCCAGAATGCCCCTCACACCCCAGCCAGTGCAGCGTGGGACTCAATTTCCATTTTAATTACACAATCATTTATCAGTACTTGCCCATAATAAGCAGATAAAGTCCTTCATCTCTGTTTAGCAG